CAATAAAAAAACATTCCTGGAAGAATCTGAAGCTTCTGCACCAACTTTCACAATAATTAACTTTGCTTCAGCTTTTGTCCACTTATTATACACATTTCTCAGAGCGTCAGGGTGTTTGAGGAAGTAGGGTGAGGATCGCCACAGCCTGTGGGAGGGGAAATAACATTAACTGTTTATCACAGAAATTAGCAACGTTTTACCAAACATTAGTAAATGTTTAATGAAAAGTGAAAGTGTTGCACCTTCATTGATGCAGCTGTATATTACTTGGGACAACTGCAAATAATTAACAGCTTTTTATTTTAAAATAAAATGATCAAGTGATAATAACAGCATCATCTCATTTTCCACTTTTGAATTCAGACTTAAGAGTCGGATGTTTTTAGGGGACAAAAAATGAACTTTTGAATCACTGTAAACCTGGAACATACTGTACATTACATGTCATCAAAACAGTGTCATAGAACACCTGACACTCACAAGACAGCACCGGATTTGAGAAGAACATCGTTGCAACTTTGTGTACCTTGTACTTTAGAGCGGAAGAAAACAAGCCTGTGGGGAACAAGGGAGTAAAAAATTGGGCATTTCAGATGAAAGAAGGAAAAAAAAATACTATTTTTGTACCTGTAAATGGTACATATGGTCAACACATTCCTGTCAACACTGATATTCTGCAGAACCTGTCCAGTAATTATTATATTACATATTACACAGTTAGGATATGCCACCAAATATGCAGGGTACAGTAAGGTATTGGCAGGGGGTGAGGAAACATTTCAAATATGTGGGTTATGCTCCTAAAGTGACAACAGTACAACCCTGACCTGCTCTATTTCTGGTCCAAAAATACAATTTGTGCCTAAACCTAATGAAAACTTAGCGTTGTTGGATTAGAAAACAGTGAGTGTTTGAAACACTGATTTGTACATGTAATTTATCAGAAGCTGAATATCAGAGTTGTTAACACTATTTACCCCAAACTACCCAGGTCTCATGCTCCACCCTGACAAGTGCTGCTTCATGAGGAAAGAGCTGGAGTTTCTGGGACACAGAGTTGGGGGAGAGGGCATCAGCACGTTGGAGGAAAAAGAACTGGCTGGCCCCCACCAGCCTGCGAGAGCTGAAGAGCTTCATTGGACAGGCGTCCTACTACAGGCGGTTGGTGCCCGGCTTCTCTTGTATAGCTGCACCTCTGTTCCGCCTGCAGCAGAAAGACTGTGATTTTACCTGGACTCCTGAGTGCAAGCAGGCCTTCAGCTCTTTGAAGAAGGCCTTGACAGAGTCTCCCATCCTCACCCCCCCAGACCACAACCTGCCATTCGTCCTGGACACAGACGCCAGCGATGTGGGGATGGGGGCGGTGTTGAGCCAGGTGGGGCCTGAGGGGGAGAAGGTGGTGGCATACTTCAGTAAAACTTTCAACAAAGCTGAACGGCGCTATGGGAGCAGGACACTTCGGGGTCTCAAAAACCCTTCGTCGACCCCGGCAAAGTTTCTACTGGGGTTTGCCAGGTTTGGGGAGGCCAAGGTCACACACAGAGACAAGGGAAGAAACGTTGAGTCAGGTGTGTTCTCTGCTATGTGTGACCGTCTGGCCATGCAAAAGACTCGAACTACACCTTTACATCCTCAGAGTGATGGACTGGTCGAACGGTTCAGCAGAACCCTGGCGAAACAACTTGCCATCCTTACTGCAGAACATCTCGTCCTATTGGCCTACAGGTCGGCTGTGCAGGATTCCACCTCATGCACACCTGCCCTGTTCATGTTGGGGCGAGAGCTGCGGATGCCATCAGCAATGGCTTTTGGCAGACCCCCAGACACACCGGCGGTTCCACCTGGACCGGAATACGCCAGGAGGCTCCAGGACCAAATGGAGTCAGCTCACGCCTTTGCCCGCAACCAGCTGCAGAAAGCTGGCATGAGGCAGAAAAGAAACTATGACTTGAGGGCCAGAGGGGGGGGGACTTGGTGTGGGTGCATAGTCCAAGGAGAAAGAAGGGCCGGTGCCCTAAATTGGACTGTCACTGGGTGGGCCCCTGTGAGGTATTGGAGAAGCTGGGTGAGGTGGTGTATAGGGTCCAGCTGCCACCTAAGGGGAGACGGGTGGCCCTCCACAGGGACAGGTTGGCCCCATACAGAGGCGATGCACGGCTACATCAGCGCCCTGGACCCTCTGCACATTCCCAGAGAAACCAGACAACCAAACCCCCAGATTCACTGACTGTTTCCCCTACTGACTCCACACATCCTCCCCCACCCCTAAACTCAACAGGTTGTTTCGAGACTGCAGGCGCAGCCGCTTGTGTTCACTCCAAAGCGGCCTCAGAGACAGAGAAGGCCCTCGGGCCACCTCAGAGACTTTTCATGTGATCCCTCGGGGTGAGGGACAGTGTAGCGACCCTGCAGTAATGTTCTGTTATAATGTCAAATGTTATGTGAGTTAATGACATGTTTGGGATTAAATGAGTAGGTAGGGGGGCGGGGTGCGAGTGTGACGGGGATGAGGCCTGTGCGAGTGCGCGTGCGTGTGTGTGTGAGGGAACCTGAGATGAGCGCGAAGGACACAGTTAGAGAGTTACGGCTAACTTTATGTTTTGGTTGTTTTGGTGTGGTTACGGCCGACAGTAACTTGTACTGTTCCAGCAATAAATGTTGGTTTGCTGAATAACACTTCGTCATCTTTTCAACACGTCCTGACGGACGCTACAGTATACTCTTACGAATATAGTAAAACAACTTTTAAAATTCACGACTTAACTTTTCTTTCACCTCTGCCAAAAAAAATGCTTCAATTCCCTCTTTATTGTCACTTCACAGACTGACATATAGTTTAATGATGCAGAATACTCACCCTCCTCCTCCTCTCGATGACTTCCCAGAGTCAACAGACACATCTTGTGTGTCCATAAAGCCGGGTGTGGTCAGTTTGCTGGTGTCCGATTTATTTGTCTTCCCAGAAGCACTAGAACATTGATGATAAGACGTATCCCACGCTCAACATGATTTTCCACTTCAAATGATTCAGATTGATTTCCTGGAAGTCAGATAGAGCCCAAAGCACTAGCATGGCACTGTGTTTACATTAACAACTTATAAAAGCTGCCAATAACAATTAAATCAACACTCATGATTGTGAGATATCTGGTGAAGTAAAGCAATTTAATGAGGAATTGAGAATATTTTGCAAACATAATCCTTGTCCTGCCTGAGTGTTAGGTTTGTTTATTCACTGTGTGCACTCTTTGAAGATAATTTATGTGCTAGTTTCACAGTAGAGATAAAAAAGATGTAATAAAAAGTCCATTACCTATTTACACAATAGATAGCTTAGCTACCTTAACTACCAGAACTTTCAACACTCTTGTTTTCACGAGAATAAACCTCGTCAGCGCTGCATCATACATCATATTTTTAATGATTTCTTTGGAATCTTGTGGTGTTTAATGATAAATACAGCAAATGAGTGTGTGTGTGTGTGTGTGTGTGTGTGTGTGTGTGTGTGCGTGTGTGTGTGTGTGTGTGTGTGTGTGTGCAACCTGTCTGGTCAGATATTCAATAAGACAAGTAAAAAGGCTGCTGATAAGGCAGAGTATTGTGGAAAGCAGATGTGGTTTGTGCAGTAATTACCTCACCAGCTTCAGTTACAAAGTTAATTATAGGTACATAATGGGTTAATATTAACTGCATTACAAAAAAATGGGGAAGAAATGTGAGGTCACACAAGAGATTGGAGATTGAAGACACTGATTTTCTGATTATGCGTTGAGTGGGGGGCTGCGTGGACAGTGCAGTATGTCGGGTTGTACTGGCTACAATACAGTCAATGCTTTTGCAGGTTGCACTGAAAAATGCACAAACAAAACATTACAGTGTATCTGGAGGCTTCAGTTGTTCTTGGACAGGACTAGTAATAAAATGAAAAAGGGTTTTTCATGAGAACTGCATTCACCCTCGGTCCCAGGTCTTTAGTTGTCATTCAAAGATGTTCAATCCATTTAAATCCATCAAGCTATAAACTGTATTGCCATAGCAGTTTGTCTAGGAGCCCCATTAAGGAAATAACTGGAGTCACTCACTCTTCTGGGATTATGTGAGACAAAATATGTCCACTGTGTTGTCTCCAAACAGTTTCTACAGGCATGTACAGTATAGAATTTATTGCAGATTTGTGCTGTGGTGGAATTATTTATTATATTACAAACTAATGGGGGGACAAATTAATGCTTTTGCTGCCTGGATATAAAAACTCCTCTGGGGGTTGTTGGTTAATTAGGCCAATTTCTTACTAAGTCACAAAGGCAGCCAACTTGGAAACATGTAGAACGTGTATGTGTGTGCATGTACTACATTTCATTCAGTAACAAAACATTAAAGTGTTATTTCCTTTCCTTAGAAAAATGTTATCCTTTCATGGCTAATCCTTTTCTCAGAATAACTCGAGAGTCCAAAAACAGTTCTAGTTTAATGTGCTCTTTTCTCTGTTTGATAATAATACTGGTTCTTTTGCTTGACATTGAGGTTGATGGAACAAAAGCAGCATGACCGTAAACACCCAGGGTAACCCCAAGCTGCAGAAGGCACAGAGGCACAGTGTTTCTACCCCCACACACAGCCACAAAAACAGGTTGTCAGTAAACAGATATGCAATAAGGGCTAAGAAAGAAAGTACAGTATATAGAAAAATTAAGGAAAACAAAGTTTAACTAACAGAAGAAAAGAGAGAAAACAGCAGTAAAAAAAATCTTCAGGGGGAGAAGATGATGGAAGTTGTTAAAGACACATATGGTACCTCTGGTTTTGTACTCCTTTGTCTAATTACTCATTCAGCTGTAAGATTTTCATACCTTGTATACTGTCTACTGAATCTGAAGGCCCAGACAGTATAAAGTTTGGCAGTATGGAGATATATGATGTAAATATTAAAGTGACCAATAATTCTTTCAACGTGCATATAACATTGTCTAACCTTAAAACAATTTGCACTCCACACTGTGTTTTGACATAGTTGCATTTATTAAAGTAACAGTAAAAGGGTTGCTAGATCATTAATCTGGGGAAAAAAAAACCCAAAACAAAAAAACCCCACCACCATTAACAACAAATAAAAAGTCAGCCCACAAAGACACTTTGAATCGTCCCCTTCATTTTGCTGACAACAGTTTTCCAGATTTATATGTAAATATTTTATTCTGTGGCAAGCCATTGTTCTGAAGTCGTACATCAAAATACATCCAAATCTGTTTTCTGCCTTGAGAAAAAGAAAGACACTTCTTCTTGTTCACTCTGCTTTTGCAATAAAACTACTTTAACTTCATTTACAAAAATCAAAAAATGAAGCTAAATTGGTTCATGTGGAGAGACATTAACATTTAAGTGTAAAGCTGCCACTTTTCTGTGTTCAACTGGAAATAACAATAAAGTGCTTCAGTCTGAAACATGAACCTGCCATAATATCGATCACAGCGACAATAAACATCTCTTAATAGGATAAATGCACACCATATGCACGCTTTGTTTCATGCAGCCGCCCTACATTGTACTGTGTAGTGTTAATGCAGGGAGACCATGCAAAGCAGACTCGGTTGTTTATTAATATTCACGATGGCTTCTTAAACAGAATCACTAAGTTAGTATTTGTGTTGTATATATAAATATATGGGGTTGGAATGTCACAGAACTCAAGACTCCATATTTAAAATGACCAATTATCTTAAAATTCACAGTGTTTCTAACACAAAGTAATCCCTTCTCTCCTGTAAGGTCTCCATGGTTCCACAGGTCCGTCTTACTGGGCAGTTTTTCAAAGACCTCACCATAAACACTGTCAACAGCTCAAGTTTCAACTATGGAGAGATGCTACAGTTGTCCAGCAACTTCCAAATAATGTCGGCATCAAATGTCAGAGCTCTTAATCCGGCAACTAAATGCTGATTAAAGATATGATATGGTTTCGGATAAATGATATGCTCCTTTAAGTCACCATGCGTGGCATCCACTCCAGTAGATGTTGTTTCAGAAATGTGAGAGAGAAGACATAAATCCACTAGAGGACAATGCCTGGCTGTGCTATTTCAAGGCATTTTTCACAGCTTCGTAACATCAAAGTCAAAATGTCACAAGAAGCCTATAAAGACTAACAAGCAGAAAGAAAAATAATTGTCATGAAAGTCAAACAGAACTGCGCTCACTGTAGCTATAGAAGTACAAATTAAATACTGTAAATTAAGGAAAGAACAATGGCTGAGTTTTTGAATATAAACCTGATACCCAATAAAGGCATGGTGAAAAACATCACTGAGGGTGAAATTACCTGTACTATAATGGCTCACATGGTAAATGTACATTTCCACAGAACTAATTCCATTGCTCTATTGCTCTGAGTTTCTCTTCTTAAAGGATCAGTTCCACTTTTTGGGAAATAAACGTATTTGCTTTCTAGTGGGTTAGATGAGAACACTGCTACCACTCACATGTCTGCTAATTAAAAAGCTTATTAAGTAAAATGGAAGAAGAAGCATCTTTAATGTGAGGTATGTGATTGGATATAATTTATGTTACCAGTCCCAAGTTCGAGATAAGTAATCAAACATATTTTTATGTTTTTTTTAGGAAAAGGAGGGATTTTGATGTAAAATACTAAAAAATGACTTGAATAATGAATAATGAATAATAAATAATCAACACATCTGATTAGAACTTGCATTGTGTCTAATTATAAGGCTATTACCAGTCTGTCATTTAGAAATTAGTGAGCTTTTGTTACCTTTGAACAGAACCAGGCTATGTGTTTTCCCCTGTTTCCAGTCTTTATGCTAAGCTAAGCTATGGCTGCAGCCTTACAGCCTTTTTAACGGACAGATACAAGAGTGGTATCAATCTTCTCATGTACTTCTGTGCCAGATTTGCTAAGTGGATTTCCAAAAATGTCAAACTATTGCTTTAACAGATCTTACATTATTACATAAACAAATGCTTTGAAACCTACAATGCAGCCAACCTGGTTACAGTAGAAACGCATGAAGAACAAACGATGCCGTATGTAGTCTTCTTTCACTATTTTGCTCCTCCAGCCCTTCTCCACAAATGTCCCAGTCAGAGAGGGAGGATCAGCAACAAAGACGGGTTATATGAATTATTACAAGGTCCAGGAGTAAATAAAGGAAGACATTAGGGAGACAACACACTGAGGACCCTGAAAGTGGGGGCTGCTGGGGCATACGTACACAGCAGATTCGGTTTGTGTATAAATATAATTATGAACTATGTTACTAAGAATAAGTTCAAATTATACGATTACAATTATATATTTGAGTTACTATTCAAACCAGAATAATCATGTTTCCCTTTGTTTTAACATAATTAAAATATTGAAGGGTGAGAAGCAGAGGGACATAAGTGATATTTAACCAACTTTACAGAAGAGCCTTAACATACTTACATACTTTGTCCTGACTTTGTTTATTAAAATCAAAGGTTTAATATTAAAACTTCATAAACATGTGGGTTACAATATACTTAATGAACTTAATGTTTTGACCTTTATTGAAAAAAATATTTGCCTACCTTTTAAGTACACTTAAGCCTTTTTAGCCCAAATAGTTCAGGGTGTTCAGTGTTAGGCCTTTTGGTTTTTAATTAATATATATAACTAATTTTCACTCGAAATGTTACATACGCCCCTCTAGTTCTCACCTCTTGATATTGCCCTTTGGCTTTTGGACTGGCTTGGACCAGAAATTGGGCCTATGTAACTTAAAATTCAATGCATCAGAAGCTGAAATTTGAAACAGGCTGAGTATACCTGCTGCAAATGTGGAAATAAAGATTTTTATTTCAGAAATCACATGGATCACAGGAATTCAGTTGCGATACCTGAATGCTCACCACATTGCCATTCTGTCTGTGATTTCTGGGTGTTAAAATAGGATTGTGGTTTCCCTTCTGTTGACCTCGCTTCTGGTTTGTAGTGGAAACACCATTTGGTTTGTGGAAGCAGAGCACCTTCTGGAAGCTCTGATTGAACTTGTCAGAGAGGAAGCCGTAGAGGACTGGGTTGGCACAGGAGTTGACATAGGTGAGGATGACCAAGAAGAAGTAGACGTTGGTTTTGTTCTCAGGGATGATGTGAATCAGGTTGACAATGTTGGTGGTGAAGAAGGGCAGCCAACAGATCACAAACACCAACACCACGATAATCACCATGCGCGTCACCTTGCGCTCCGACTTACGCCGCCTAGTCCGGCCTGCGCGCACACCTGCTGACCTTACCTGAAAGAGAGATGGTTGATTTTAAAGGTTTTATGTGCTTCTGAGGGCATAACCTCACATGAAAATGCTTTTTTTTGTTAGAGAACAGTAAAAGCCAGAGGACATTACCTTGATGACGATGAGCAGGTAGCAGAGGCAAATGACCACCAGAGGAGCAAAGAAGCCCAGGATGGATGTGTAAAGGATGAAGGCAATGGACCACAATTCCCGGGTCTCAGGCCAGGTTATGTTGCAGGTGTTGAACTCCTCTTGTACATTTGAGTAGATCGTGACAGGCAGCACAACCAGAAAGGACACAATCCACACCATGGCATTGGAAACCTTGGCCACCCGTGGTTTCCGCCATTTGGCACTGCGAATAGGATGAACCACTGCCAGGTAGCGGTCGATGCTCATCACCGTCAGGCAAAAGGTGGAGGCGAACTGGCTCATGGCGTCAGCAGTCATGCACACCTTGCAGAAGAAATTCCCAAATGGCCAGTAGGAAAGCACACTGTTAGTGCCCAGGAAGGGAATTCCCAGGATGTAGAGTTCATCCGCCAAGGCTAAATTGAGGATGTACATGTTGGTTACTGTCTTCATCTTGGAGTAGCGAACCACCACGTAGATGACCAGCATGTTACCCAGAAGACCCACAACGAAGACAGTGGTGTATACGACTGCGGTGATCACATTGAAGGGAAGCGCAGCCACATCTGAGATATTGGATTTGTGGGGGTACGGCGAGGAAGACATGCTGACATTCTGGGATATCGACCAACTGCAGTCATCCATGTTGAAGGAGGGAGTGCTGGTGTCCATTTGGATTACAGTAGGAAATAGCTCATAAGAGAAAAGACAGACACAAATTTTATTTTATGGCATACCTAACAACAACCCATAACCTTTCCCAAAAAATCCTGTTATGTCTACCTTTTGCACCATACAGGCTCACTGGGCAAGATGCCCATATTTACCAGGCGAGCAGAGAAACTTTCCACCGAATTTTCTGGGCATGTGGCCAACATGCCATTTCTTTTAATGGAAGGTCGCACTTTAGAAGAAGATTAGTTAAGTAGGTCTCAATACTGTCACTGTCGTTAGATTAGATGTCTGTAATGGGGGGACAGACAGAAACTAAATCCTGCAGCCAAGTGGCAAAGAGCCCATATGGATAATATCAGCAGTGTCATTGCTCAAGAGGGACAAACATATAAAGCAAAAGATATAGATTTTGTAAAATAGTTTTTTGAGATCCCTCCAGTGAACAAATACATATCAATTTTGAAGTTTAACGATAATGCATACTTAGTTTCCCCATAGATATGCATGTTGAGCTGGAAACTGAACCACAATTGTTTCACTGAGGTCCAACAGGAGGCAGGATGACATTATTGACAGTATGGACATCTGCTGTGTGACTTTCCTCTTCTGTATTTAGGCAGTAATTCACCTTATGATGACAGCAAATTTTAGCTAAAGATGAAAAAATGTTTAACTCCAGTTTTCGTTGTTGTGTTTGGAGAATGTGAGCAAATTTTAAGACGTTTTGTCTTAATAAGGACATTTTTTATTTTATGTAAAATTGTTTGATTGAAGCATTATTAATAGGTCACTATTTGCATGCTGCACTGTGAACCCATACAGCACGTAATAATAATAATAATAATAATAATAATAATAATAATACACATAAATATATAATACAATATATTTATTTATTGCCTGAAACGAGATGATGGCCACCTCTCATCCTTATGAATACTGCCACCCTGAGAGTGGCCGGTAGTTACCTATATGTCCTCAACTTGTGCCTTGTGGGTGACCTAACATAATAATAATCTAATAACCGTCAGTTGTCAGACGTTGCAACCCGAGGCTGTGAAAATGTGTTGCACAAATAATGGTCTGACGTGAAGATTCACTGAACCGCGCTCCTAAACACGGGAGTGACGCGCAGCCCGCAGCATGTTGTTGAGAACATAAACACTTGAAGCCCCTGTCCCCTTCAGGCTGCATGGGGCTTGACATTTTTGTCCACCAAACAAACTATAATAGCTATAGCCCACAGTCACGAGAGACATTTGAGGCGTTCACACGCATGGCTCATTGACTCTCATTGAGTTTAATATATAAAACTTTAAGGCTAATAACATTCTTCCATTTTTTTTTGTTGAGAAATAAATGACATTTAAAAGTATATTTCACGGCAATAGCTTTCTTAAAAAACAACAAGAATTGTAATTTAATTTCATAAACACACTTGTAAATGTGATGAGCAGATGGGAGTCGACCTACCTGTGCGCTCCCGTGCGCTTTATCCTCTCCACTGTCCAGTGGCGTGACGCGCTGCCGTATTCATGCGATTTTGGAAACGTGCACTTTCTCTCAGGTCAACTCTCTCGCTCTTCTCCCTCGCTACTTGAAAGAGGAACCACCTCACACTTGACTTTTCATCTTGTGGCATTTTCTTCATGCCAGCACGCTCAGCTTGCCAAAGTCAGAGCCGCAAAAACCAACATCATCCTTGGCTTCCCAGGATTTTCTGTTCTGAAGGAAATCCGTTCCTAAGCTGATGAGGAGTCGCTCACAGGGTCATGTTCTGCCTCGATGCACAAGTATTTATGTGGAAAACGTCACCCCGCCTTCGGGTGTTTAAGTCCCACCCATTGGTGGTTATAAACACCTCACAGCCAAAACAAGTTGTTGGTGTGAAAGCTTATATGTATCCCTCTTTTTCTTTTCTTTTCTTTTCTTTTCTTTTCTTTTCTTTTCTTTTCCTGTGCAGTGCAGGGCTTTTATAACTAGAACATCCAGTCACTGATAAAGTGATACTAACTTTCTTATTACTATGTGTGTGAGACAAAGAGAGAGACACAGAGAGGGATGGAGCAATGCCCAGATCCAGCCTGCATGGGGAATAAATCACCTTGATGGTGGCCAGAGGCACCTGAGACGGAGAAAGAGAAATTAGGCTGCGATGGAAAACGGTGGAGGGAAGGATGAGATTGGACACTGGAGGAGAGATTTGATGGTAATTGTTTGGGAAAGCTGCCTACTTTTAGGCCATTAACTTCATGTTCTTGTCATCCAGGTCAGTTAACAACAGGCTGCCAGGCTGTGTGTGTGTGCATGTTTACAGTATGTACTCCATCCCTGCATTTTCCACTAGTCTACAGCATCAAAGGAGGTTAACATAGGACAATGGGAAGTTGATGACGTCTTATTCTTTACGGTCCTTGTTTGACTGGTCCCAAGCAGACCAGACAGCAAGATTTATGAGACTGGTGAGTATATAAGTAAACACTGTCACCACAGCTGTGTGTAAAGGTTTACCCTGAGGGGACAGTGGTGTGCAGTGGCAGTCAGGATGCCATGATATGGCTCATTTACACTGTGTTTTTTCCAGTCTCCACGTCTGTTCTCATTTTCAAGGTTACAACGGCTATGTCAACAAAAAGTCTTGGAATACTATTTTACGTCGACTTGGCTAAAACTGATGCAACAGTCCTGCAATAAATCCTGCTGTTAGTCTTATCTTATTGAGTGGGGCAGACAAAATATTAGAAATGTCAGTATTATGTTCAGTATCCGCAGTGTAGACAGTACGGTTACATTTACTCCATGTTCCCTTTTTAAAAAGCCAGATACAGCTGATACAGCAGCTCATGCTATTCTTCTTTCATATTCTGTTAGTGTGCTTACATTCTTATAACATTTGCCGCAGTGATCGAATTTCCTCGCATAAATTAGTTTCATCCAAACTAACCCAAAGAATAAACTGGTCCACTATGTTCACCTCAGGCCGGGTATGCACAAGTCATCAGTGATGTGAAACAGCAAATATTGCTGTGGTTGGGTAATCATCTGCTGTAGGAGCACAAACATCCTTAACCGAAAGGATTGTGGGAGATGTGTGGTTTTAAAAGATCTGCAGTTTTTAGCTGTAAGCTGGGAAATAGTGTGTACTCGGAAATGTGTGTATTCCTGTATATCCTATTTACAGTTGAATCTGAGGGGAATTCTGATAAACGGAGCAGTAAATTGCCCCCTTATAAGCTAATGTGTCCTGCTCTACTCTGTGAGACTTGTATTGCTCAAGTGAGCACCAATACACATGTACCGTTGTTCTACATGAAGAATGCTGTAGTACATGCCCAGTGCTTTGTATCTTGGTTCGTTCCTTTTATTGTAAAATTTGGAAAATAAATTGTCTTCTTTGCATTAATTTCACATTGTCAGCGTTTTTTTTTAAACTTTCAGTTCACTTCAGGCCTGTGTCAGAGAATCCGGCAGCTTTTTGTCCTTTTCTTTCTCCGAGCTTGGTGTCTTTCTCTTGCTCAGATGAGTCACTCTGTCTCTGAGCAGTTTGCATGCACCTCCTGCCTTACTATCAAGCTTCCTGCGGGCATGTGCACTGCGATAATATCGGAGTGGTGTCAGTCGCTGACTTCGTCTGGCTGATGACAAAAAGCATGCAGGAATCGATCGGAGAACTCTCTAAAGGTAACAGTGTGACTTATGTGTGTGGTATTTTTGGCCAACAGGAGCTCTCAAGCAAGCCGAATCAATACTCCAGCTCTGATCTCCAAGAGGAGACAGAAAGGTGTGTGTCTGTGAGATGACTACCATTTGGCCCACTGTGTTATGTCATATCTAATTGGTTACATGAGGTTTACAGCTATCATGAAAAACACTGCTTAGCTTGAATGGATGTTTTCTAAAACAACCAGACCATGTAATGTTAAAAAAAAAAACCCCAAACAAAACAGTACAGAACCAGATTCTTGTGTCTGTGTTTCTGCACACAAGAATTGGCAGTAACAAATCTTAACATTGCTCACATGCATACTCCAGCTCTGATCTCCAAGAGGAGACAGAAAGGTGTGTGTCTGTGTGTGCAGGGGAGGGTTGATTGGAGGAGAAAGAAAGAGAGAAAGAAGAAAAAATGACATAAAGAAATGAGTTGATGTCCAAACTGGCGACTCTGCGGCTGGCGCTGTGTGTTAAGGTCAGAAGATGAAATACTTCTTCTACTACAATCTACAGTATTTGAAGTGAGATGGCTGACAACCTTGTTGACATACAGCGCCCATGAGTGAGTCAGCTTTGAAAGCCTTGACGAGTTTGTATCATGGTACATCCATATAATATCCTTTAAGGCATTTTTATTTATTTCTAATGGGCAGGGAAATAGCTGTCTCAATGGAGCCAACTAACAACTTATTTACTTAATGATGTTTACTTTCTGCTCCAATTGTTAATTAAAATGTGTCAAAATAAGAGTGTTATTAATGACTTGAACACTAATAATGATACAGTTTGAATTTAAAGAGAAGCTGTAAGTATTCCCAGTTAAATAGCTTTTGAAATTAGAATCTGAATGGAATAATAGAAAGGGTTAATACATTGGAGACGCAATTTGATTTCAAATCTTTCTCTATGTGTCTGAAGGCTATAATATACCGTATACACAGTTATTCCTGTCGCTACTGGCTACCTGTTATTATTTGTGGTCACTGATACATCGCTGGTGGTGATAAAGTGGTAACTTAATCATGGATACTCCTTTTGTGGTATCGTCACGTAGGCTAGCTTGTGCTATGACTGAGCCCCGTTAATCATGTGTGGAAGACTGAGGAACTTTTGTGTGATGATGATTTGACAGGATTTTTCAGCTCTTTAAAATGAATTCAAAAATACATGTGGGGCTGTTGAAAGAGAAAGTCCATCAGCTCAAATGTGGAAAAATAAAGCAATAGAGCAACGTTTTGTTACCCAAGTTCTTTTAGTGTTTTTTACAGTTTGATTTTCACAAAATCCACATACACATATGCTAAAATATATTGCAAAAAGTTTAGTCCAAGCTAAGATTAAGCAAAGCAGATAAATTACAATCTCTTTAGTTGCACCCATTAAACTATCTGGGATTTATTAGAGGCTTTGGTGAGGTTTTAATTTATAGTTGTGAAGCTTTGGAGAAAATACATTCCTCAGTTTTATAGGAATGTTTCTGTAATAACAGGAGCGGTCTCTGTCAGCTTATGGCCTGTTTCTTGCATTGACTGCAGACTGAAGGTAAATACTTTAATATATGAACACTGACGGTGTATTTAGTTCCAGCCAATGGTAGTTTACTAATTAGGCCCTAATTTCCAGGTCAATAATTGTGAACGCAAAGCAGTACTGATGTTGTTTTCCTTCTGATTTCACTTATTAAATCCAACATGATAAATTAAATTGATAGAGCAGTTTGAAGAAAAACTTAAAGACAGTATGGATTAAATATTCTCCTAGAAACATGTCCCCTAATGTGGAGACTATTAAAATAAATCCAAACTGAGCATCACACAAACATCAAAGCCATTCTTTTAATGGCTATACAAATATTTGCTGAATTCCACAACTTGAAGGCATTTAAGTTCACATAGTTTTTTCATTATGCTAATAAACTGTATTACTTAATATTCCTGCTAACAAAGCCCAATTGTACTCTGCCCTGAGGTAAAAAATAGAGGAGTTAATTATGAAAGACCAAAAGGCTATATTTTATTATCAAAGTAAAACGATTTGACAATCATAATTATAACTTGTCAGGACAATATTCTTTAAAATAGGTCCTGCGTGGATAAGGGAAGGGGTTTCTAAAAAAAGACATGCTATAAGCATTTAGGCAACGTTTGGCTTTTACAGAAGTGACAGTGTCAGCCTGTATTTAACACCCTGTCTGTCTGTTCTGTCCCAGATCAAGGGAGCTCAAATAACCCCTCCAGAAGTCAGGTGAGTGTACGAGAGAGTATAATAGCACTATTATATTAAAAGACAAACAATTGTCCCCAGAGCTGGAGAAAAAAACAAAAACATACTGACTGTCCTTTTTTTTCTCCAAGAAAATAGAAATGATTATTGTAATGGGATTATGGAGGGATAGATGACTTTGTGAAAAGTCTTCTTTGCAGTAAAACGACAGAGAAAATGAAACAACTCAACTGACAGTGAATAATTGGAGCTCTGACACTGGTCAGGTTCAGGTGGAAACTAAAATACAGTGTGAATATCACACATATACGTATACTCAAACCTAGGTTATATTTAGTTATATACAAATGGTTTTGACTCATTATCAGTATCAATCAGCCAAGTATTGCCATTGGAAATGTGTTTTTTAGTACAAGACATTCCAACACTTTAATAGGATACGTTGATGACGTCCCCAAGCATTAACACTTCATAAAGCAAAAGTGAGTTGAGGTTTAAGATGATTTACTTGGAATGATTTGTTCTTAAATGAGATGACTACCATTTGGCCCACTGTGTTATGTCATATCTAATTGGTTACATGAGGTTTACAGCTATCATGAAAAACACTGCTTAGCTTGAATGGATGTTTTCTAAAACAACCAGACCATGTAATGTTAAAAAAAAAAACCCCAAACAAAACAGTACAGAACCAGATTCTTGTGTCTGTGTTTCTGCACACAAGAATTGGCAGTAACAAATCTTAACATTGCTCACCCCCCCCCACACACACACACACACACCCCCCACCCCTCCACCCCACCCCACACACAGACATTATTAGCATTATTAGATCCACCAGCTTGGTCATGTTCTTTGTACATGGATAATTGG